TATAAAAAATTGGCACAAACTTTTAATTATATGAAGTAGAAAAGAAACTTTGCAAAGGTGAAAAAAGATATTATCAATCCAAAATTAATGTCAATTTGTAGTTGCCAAAAAATTTTTATTAAATTATTGTACTTGTATTTATATAAAAATAAAATATAAAAGAAAATCTGATGTGTAAGAAAAAAAACAACGTACAAAAACTTGGCACGCGGGTCGCATTTTATTGGAAATTTCAACAAGAAATTTCATTGATTGGATATTACAACGATAGAGTTATAAGAAATTGAGTATACTCGTTACGATAATAATATCGAAATCACATTTTGTATCGATATCGTTTCGTTAACTTTTGTGTTACAGAATAGCTTTGTCATTATAGTCATATCACCAGCGCAAGCGGCAATTGTCGCTACGTAACGATAACGACATTACCGTTACGAGAAGTGAGAGAATAGACCTACAGGGGCTATATTCCGTACACGCTTACCGACAACTGTTGGTATCGTTAATTAACGACAACCAATAGCAAGAACGATCTTGAAAAAAATCGCGGCTCTCATTAGCTGTTGTTAGTTAATGACACCGACAGTTGTCAGTAAATGTGGAATGGAGTATCAGTATGCCTATTCTCTAACTTCGTAACGACAATGTCGTTATCTTTACGTAGCGACAATCGTCGCTTGCGCTGGCGATACTGTAACGACAAAGCTATTCTGTAACACAAGCTAACGAAACAAATATCGATACAAAATGTGATTTCGATGTCGTTATCATAACGAGTATATTCTTCTTTCGTATACAGTTTCATGTAACTTTTTCGTTGTAATATCCAAATAAAATCTCTTTTCTAACATCCTTTTCCGATAGTTTAGGAATGTGAAAATAAATTATCGATGATAAGATTATAAACTTACAGTAAAGTGGTAAAGTGGGAAATAGTAGAAGAGATAAATAAAGTCTGCAATGTCAGAGTAAATATATATAAACAATTTGAGTAATATATGAAAAAATATTGATAAATTACATATGAAATTGATATTAATTATTAATAGTTAAATTGGCCAATAATTAATTATTTATTTTGAGTGTTAAAAGCATTGTTGTTAGTGTTATATACAACAGATTACATAGAAAATTAATACATAATTTTTTTAAATTATTAAATATAATAATGTAAGACGACCGTAAGCGGTCATAAAAGAGATTCGGAATATAAACAGCTAAGCAGAGAGGAGCCGTCGTGATCGTACAGACTAAGTGTCGGATTGGTAGACGAGGGATCCCGAGTTCAAATCCAGTTGGTCTCCGTTAATTATTTTCCGAATCTAATAGATATCTTTCAATCTCAGAAGTGGGATTCAGCCCATGTTACCTCAGAGAGAATACAGCCTATGTTACCTGACAGGGAGAATTCAGTCGATTTTATGTATGTCGTTTATGTATTGTTCGAAATGAACCAAGTCAGGGAGTTAAAATACTCCAATATCGTGTCGATCGTTCAAAAGTGAACGAAAAAAGTCGTGGAGTAAAATACTCCAATGTCGTGTCGATCGTTCAAATGTGAACGGAAAAAGTCGGGGAGTAAAAGTACTCCAATGTCGATCGTTCAAAAAAGTGAACGAATTCGGGAGCAGAAGCTCCAAGTTTCGGATAAAATTCCAGTAGATGAAGACTCTCGGTACTTCGGGACGAATGTAACGCCAGAATGGCCGAGCTGTAAGAATTAGACCGTAAGTGGTCATAAAAGAGATTCGGAATATAAACAGCCAACAGAGAGGAGCCGTCGTGCTCGTGCAGACTAAGTGTCGGATTGGTAGACGAAGGATCCCGAGTTCAAATCCAGTCGGTCTCCGTTAATTATTTTCCGAATCTAATAGATATCTTTCAATGATAATAATAAATTATTAATAATAATTGTTATTAATTATTATTAATAATAAATAATAATAATAATTAATAATTATATTTAATATAATTTAATGCTATTAAATATAATTATTTAAATTATTTGTTTAAATTTCTTTTTTTTTACATATTAAAAAAATTTTTTTTAAGTGATATATTCCATTCCAAATATCCTTCATATCCATTTTATCTTAGAAATAAGAGAAAATCTTAACTTTTTATCTAAAATTTTTTATGAAAAACATTTGATTTACATTGCATATAATTCATAAATAAAATATAACCTATATCTATTTATTTATTTATTTTAATATTCTTAGATATTATAATATTGATAATACATTGCTTTTAATTAAAATATTTTATTGTAATATTACTTTTTGCGTGCTCTTCTTAATATTTAATATGTTTAAAATAAGTTTATGATGTTCATATATTTAAATTATAAATTATACTATACTTGCACACTTCCGTATTATTATTCGGAGCCTCTTTGGAACGTTGCTATTAATTGATATGTCTAGTTATGTTGTCGTTATGGCTTATCGAGAGGTCCGATACCCCTCGACATTTTAACAAGATTTCGGTACTTTATCGATACTTTTAACGACATTTATTGTTACGTTAAATTACAAAATACTATTTTTCATTATAGTGTCGTTAAATCTGCGTAATGATATCCCTAGCTAGTGAAACTGTCATTAAAAAGTTAGAGAATAGGCCTACAATTAACAATGCAGCCAGCAGGCTATATAATTTCCAGCATAGTAGCAAAGTAACAAAATAACCAGCATAGAAGCACGCAAGCAATCCAGCAGCTTAAAAAACATAGTCAACCAATCAGAGTCTTTCATTTTCATTATGAGTATAAAAATGAAGACTACTTTTAACGACATTTATCGTTACGTTAAATTACACTTCAATTTTACATTTTGTGTCTTTATAATAGATGCGATTGGGTAATTTTCCTTATGCATAGTTATGCTGTTATGTAAGTTTATCTGGATATGTTCTTAGGCTGGACGCACACTTTTGCATAACGCATAATGCATAACACATAAGAAAATGAAGCATAGTTCTTCATTTTTACACTCATAATGAAAATGAAAGACTCTGATTGGTTGACTCTCTTATGCCTTATGCAAAAGTGTGTGTCTCGACCCTTATACAGTCTTAAGCCGGCGGCATACGGTGTTTTTTAAGCTGCTGGATTGCTTGCGTGCTTTTATGCTGGTTATTTTGTTTGTTTTATTTACTTGTATAAACGCATTTCGTGAGAAAAAAATAAAGCTATAAATCAATTTTTTTTATTTGTGATCAGTTTATTTATGAACAAAGAAATATATATGAATGCTTAATTTATATATTCTTTAGTCTAATATAAATGTATTTGTTAGGGTGCCATTTCATGGCACAGTTTTTTCGCGTAACGCGTATCGCATAATCAATCAAAGACGTTTACATGTTTATTGTTCATGGTAACAAAATTCGAAATGTTGATAATTATGTGTACACATACTATTTTATATATTTTCTTATTATTGGTTAAGAGAATT